GCACAGCTAGTTTACAACATTAACAAAAATAATAAATTCACCTATAAATTCGTAAATGTTTGTATTCTTCAATTATCAGTTATAAATCGTGTGCTTTGTTTTATATGAAAGTAAAATAGAAAAATTAAATACAATAGAAAAACTTGTTAGAAATAGAAACAGGAAAAGAATAGACTGATATATTCAACAAATTTGTAGAGAATCTGCTTATTTCTAATATAATTAAGATTCAAATAAAAACAAAGAAATTTCCTTTTATCCTACAGAAAAGTGAATTTGCATAAGCAATCAATCAATCAATTGGAATATTCAATAAACGGGATCAGTATTATTTGAGTCACTGAATAGCAGTATTATATTTAATACAATCAACAAAGTTGAATGATATTATTTAAACATTATATTCAGCAGGGTCAATGCAGGATCAGTTTTATTCGAATCACGTCGATCTAGATATATCTATAAATAATATATTCGTCATGGATTAATAAAACACAAATCACAGGGCGAATAGCGGGGATCAAATAGCTTCCGTTTTTAGTTAACTTCAGTCATAATTCGACGTTTACGACTTGTTTGCTATTTCCGAGTAATTTTCTCTTTCAATGGAAGCCAGAAGTGATATCGTGACGCATCACGGTTGCATAAACTGCGAAATAATTCAACGTCTTTACGCGATTACATATTCGTTAGCGGCGTAAAGACGTTTCGAGCAACTAGTAACGGCTGCCATTACGCTGAAACATATACACTTCAACTCCATACATTCCAACATAAAACAAATGATTTAAGTTCACGCAGCAAGTGTTATTTACGACTTCCTATGTCTTTATCTACGTTCACGATTCCAGTAAAAAATATTTTCAACTTTAAACACTACGTTCCATCGATTCGTTTGGTAAAAAAAAAATAATTAACCGACAAGCGTATCCTTTCTTCGCAAAATTTCAACCTCGAAACGGAGAAAAGAATTTCTATATAAATTCGTGCGTTTGCATTGGAAGTGTACGTCGCGACAGTCGCATAAAATTTATATCACAATATCTTACAGGCGATATACGACAATTTTATCCTTTCGTTGAAAAATTTTAACCTCGAAACGGGGAATCAATAGCATTGTAAATTCATGCGTATACAAAGTGTATATATATATAAAATGTTTGAATGATATGAAATTTATAATGCAGTGTGTCATTTATTCTTATTTGTTTAAATTGCTTGTAAATTCTCCTCGTCGCAGAAACGAACGTTCCAAGCGTTGAGCAACAAATTATTACCCCTTGCCCTATGATTTCTTTCTCAATTGTGATCGATACAATAACTTTGTCAGTAATAATTCATTGAAAAAAGAGACAAATTCTATGCATATTCCATGTCTACGTTTGCCCTGCAATATAATAATTGATAACAGAAGAATAATATTTAATTTGAATTTAAAGGAATTGAGTAGTATCTATGTTTGTTAAATTCTGTTTAAAATCTTCACCGCGATTCTCCCACGTTATTATAAGGCAAAGGGTTAAAATACCCAAATTCTAAAACTAGTCACTGTTTAATATAAGTAAATAGAATCACTAGATACACAAAATAATCAGTATTCAACAATGATTTAACACTAGATTTACGGAACGAGTCAATTTGACTCATGTTAAATTTTATAAACATTATTTAGTAAATGCTTAGGTTGATTTCGATTGATATAGATATGCAAAAGTGTATTCCGATTATCTACTTTTAAACCTTTAGTTTCAAAAATCTAAATGAACGTTTATCAATTTTTCTAGAGACGAGACTACAAACTCTACAGTAAATGTCTGTAAGTCTAGTGACAATCCGTTGCACTCGAAAGATTTTCACTATCAATAATCACCGTTTTCTGATAAAGTATTGATAATATTTTGTATAACAAAGAGAAATCATGCGTAAATACAAATATATAGGAGAAAAGTCTATTTCACCTGTATATTTTATGAACTGAAACAGTATACAAAATTGAATGAAATATCAAACTTTATAAATCAGCCATAGCTCCCCTCAATGATTAGGGGATGCCTGTGCAAGGTTATCCAAAAAAAGAAAAAGAAAAAGAAAGGTATCGCATAGCTCTTAAACCCACATGGTTAAACATATTTTCGACCGTTCAAATATTAAATATTCATTTAACTCATACGATCAATTTTTACGAGTTACGTCCGAGATAACGTAATTTTTCTCCGGAACATGTTTTCGCGTAACAAGCAATTTGCAGGCGATCCAAAACAGTGGGGTTAATCGCGGGCTCGTCCTGTATATTTTACACAGAATATACAAACCGGTTCACAATACGCAACACTCGTAGCATTTCAATATAATAAGTGTCCCATAATCGGTGCATAAATTTCCTAATTGTATATAATTTGCCCGATAAACGCCTATAAACATGCGATTCCACCGATAAATAATAGGCCATTACGGTATTAACTTTATATAGTGAATTATCGAGTGGCCCACGAGAGTTCTATACACAGCGATGCGACGCGACGCTTCGAATTATTCACCCTAGTCGAATTAGTATTCGAACCGTTTGAATTTTCTCCGGCGAACTTCCGAAGCGGCGCGCTAGACAATTGATCCCTCCATTATTCATGTTATTTTACCCGTGTCGTGCGTGCCGGCTGTAAAACGGGTTTTCCCTCGATATATTCGCCGGCGCGTTCCTCGTTCGTAAAGGCTGATGCGTTCGCCGTCGACCACGTCAAAATGATTTCCGGTTATAGATCGTAACGGGGCTGAAGCGTAAGCATCCGAATATCCGGGGGAAGAATGTTAACACGTTAACTGCCACGAAAATCTTGAGCGTTTTATAGGAGACTTAACCAGTTAACTGCGTTCGACGAGTAAACGCGTCATCTTAAAGCTTGAAATGATATTAATCTTGTCAACGATGAATTAGTTATTTCTTCAGATAAACATATAATCCCTCTTCTTTTTGCTTTAGTTTATCGTTAGAGTACATTATAGGTGCACTTGCTCTGCCTTTGACGAGCATACACTTTATCATTTGATTTTATTGCGCACACAATGTGAATTTTTTGAAACTAAATTCTACGGTTAACAGGTTAGATTTATTTGCCACTGCGACCCTTACATTCTGCGTATGATTACCCCTTCGAGTGGGTAATCAGAAGAAAGTGGGCAGGAAGAAAACGCACACGAAAGAAGCGCACAATGTAAAATACGCACAGTTCATAACGTGCATATGTACGACTTGTACAATTGTAAAGTAAAAGCAGAGGTGGAGAAGGGGCTCTGCATATTTATTGAATTATTGCAAAATAATACTTACTTATTGTCAACAAATTATTTAGTGTTTTGCAAGTCTTCTTAAATATAACAGTTTTCTAGCAATTTATTATAAGTATTAACGGCTGCTTGTAACGGGCGCATGTAATCATATTATAAATACATAATCTATCTACAAAATTCAATATAGTTTTCTTTTCGTTGAATTAGTTTCAGAAAATGTCATCTGTATCTCATCAGAAAATGTTCAATATTTTCAGTGAATCACTTCTGGAGTACAAAAGGTTAGCACTACGACGAAGAAAGTATTATTAAATTACCTTTTGTGTGTGTGGACTTCCAATACGATAATTACCATAAAAAATGTGACATAATAACTATTATAGTCCTAACTTTTTTATGAGGAACTATATAACACGATACGAAGATTTGTGTGTTCTATTAGGCTAGTATTATCTCTACCTTGTACAGAGACAAAGAACATAAGCACAAATAATAGCAACCCACGAGCATTATTATTGTTACTCTCACAACCTAATATTAGCGTTAGTATCATTTAACTGTAGCCGTGATTCGGAACAATAACCGTGGATTCGTCAATTGAGTTCGTTCAATGCGCGCGCTAGTCGTTTAACCGGCTGATTGAGTAAGTTCAGGCTCACGGTCGTGTAATAAATGAATTCTAATTCGAACACTTTTACGGTCGGTTACCATACACCTCCGGTATTTATCGCGGAATCGTATTTTCGTGGATTAATTGGAAAGGGGAAACCGAGTTAAATTGGCGTTCGCTTCCTCAATTAGAGGATTTACTAGATTCGAAGTGGAATAAACATTTCATTGGGCATTATTAAGATTTTTACTAATCCTCCGGGAATAGTGTAGGCATCCGCGTTCTAATCATTACGATTGAAAATAAGAATTTTACGACGCGTCGCTTATTAATGGGATATAAATCTTGCCCGTGTATTCTTTTAGGTACTTATACAGCTTTCTTTTTCCTTTCTTTCAGTTCGCACCGATTAGACATTACTTTGTAGTTAACCTTAAACCCTTCACTTACAATTTTATCCTTCACTAGCTAGGCTTGTATTGGGTAGTTTAATTTTAGTAACAGACTAGGAGAAGAAAATGTAACCGTGTTGCAGGATTTAATTTTGTAAATTGCTCTGTGGGAATAAATTTGTAAATATAAAATAATACTTTCCTTACGCAAATTATATTAATATTTATTCAATTTAAAGTCTTTGTTACGAGCTTGATTCTATATTATAAGATAATGTATTAGACATTTTCAATCGTTATTTTTCTTCTATGCCAGTGTAATAAATAATCGAAATGACTGTAATGTTGTTTATATCATCTTAATATAAAAAATACGTTGGAGCATGAAATATATAATTAAGCTACATATCTTGTACACAGACAACACTGCTAATTGAAAATTATTTTCAGATCTTCATTCTACGAATCTTTTAACACGGAAAATAATTTTCAATTTGATTTACTGCTGATAACATATTGTGCAATGCGGGCGTTCTTAAATACAGCAGTTACTTGCAACAGTGCAATGAGTGTAAAGGATTGAGCTTAATAGTATTTGCTCAAATCAAATACATCTGTCATTATTTAACAATCCTCAATATTTACATCGAAATCCATTTACGATTCAACCTGAATGTTCGAGCTTGGATTCCAAACACGATTTCTGCACCCACCTGATACGGGTAAGCACCTGGCCTGTAATAGCTGCCGGTATTTAACGCCGGATAACTTTTCGTGCTGCCACACATAGAAGCCATTTTCCCTTGATAATTCCTCTTCTGTCACGAATTTCCTTGTCCTCCAGGAAAATCCTCCAGAAACCCGGCGAATCTCAAACGACTCCGAACTCGAGCATCGTCCAGCTTCACGATCCTTTGTATACCTTTTATGAAACTTCTACAATGATCTCAAAACACAAAATACAGGTTCCTCCTAACCAGAGAAAAGTTCCAATTCTTCCACTCGAATTCCAACTTTCTTCAATGTTCTATTTTCTCTAGTTCACGAAATAGTTACTCTAGATCACGAGCACTCGAGTTTACAAGAACAACACCGTAAAGTCGATACCCTCGCATAGAATCGCGGCAAAGACTGCACCGGTTGGCTAACACCGTGAAAATTCAAAACACGAGAAAAACCGGAACGTGAGTCCAGATTCCAGCAGTTGAATTGCAGAATTCGCGGTCGCGGCGCACCTGGGCCGACTATGTTTCCATGTTACCGGTATTCAAGGTCACGGCTAGCAGCGCTCAAATATTTTTTATCGTCCAGGACGGCGGTCCCGTTAAACGCGGGGCTCCCGATATATTCAAACCGCGGGCATTCCCTGTTTCGTGGCCATTTGGCTGCGGTTACCCATAAAAAAACCAGTTCACTTCTTTCAGACCAGTTTTAAATGGTTGAGCGGCCGGCGGTGCTTCCTCTCGCCGGTCATAGTCACTTTCTTCGGGGTTAATTGTCCTCCGCCGCTTCCTCGAGTGTCCTCTGTCCGGGTGTCAATGTCCTTGCCAGCGAAATCGGCGTTGCATCAGCGTGGCGACCGTGTTTCCAGGCGAGTTCCTTTCGCCGTAGCCGCAGGACACCCGAAAAACAACCTCGTGTCTTCAATTCCAGTTTCCTGGATTCGCTCGCACTCTTTTCCCGCGAGAAGTCAACGAACGTGGGGGTACCAGGAAAGATGCACGCGCGCGATGACAGCGAGGCTGACGACGAGTTTCCGTCCGGTTAGCTCGAAGAGGAGCCGGACACCGGGGCACGGCTCGAGAAAACGAGGCGAGGCGAGGCGAGGCAGAAAGCTGCCGGCAACCACGTCCTTCCACCGAGACGGTTGACCACCGACTGACAGCAGGAGATCTTCACGCACCGCCGTTCTTCATCTTCATCCTTTCCGTTCAGCTAACCCAGACGCTCTTTGCCTCTCATTCGGCTTCTTCTGCGTGCACCGAGAGCTTTGTCGGCCGGCTTTGCTTCACGCCACTTGACTTTTTCGCCAAGTCTCTTCCTCGTGGGAATCGTCGGCTCCCCTGACTTTTCTTCCATCAAACGTTCTTCTCCTCTCAGAGTTGATTTTCAATAGTTGCTTCCTACTAACATTTTCTTTTGATTTTCTTCTTCTTTTTCTGTCGCTTCTGGTTCTTCTTCTCCCCTTGTCTCTTCTTTGCCTCTTTGTTCGCCGCGTTCCGTTTACTGGGGACCCCTCCCCCCCTCTCGCCCCGCCAGCGTTCTCGCTCACGGCTACCTTGTTGCGACACGGCGATCCTCACGCTCCGGGAAGCAATTTGTTCCGATTCCTTTGAATCTCGAAGTGTCCGCGATGAGAACTACCCGATTATCGGGAAAGGATTCCGGGCGCTATCTGATCAACCCTGTGAAGAAGCGTCGGGACTGAGTATGGGAAATTGGGGTTTTGTCGTGTTACTTGCGGGGGAGAATGAAATTGTGTTCGAGTAGTGTTGGAGCGCTGAACACTAATCGTACTGGCACTTTGTATATACCTGTTCCTACCGTAACCAGTCAAATAACTAGCTACAAAATAAAGGTGCACAAATTAGACGATAAATTTTTCTTCGTGGAAATAGAAATGAAAGAAAAGACGAAAATGGAACACTGATTAATCGGGAAGTATAGGAATTGATGTAAATTTATGTGAACAAAAGAAAACGTAAAAGTTTAAATCAAGTTTTGAAACTTGTCGTTTGACCGTTTCGCAGTACGGTTAATGATAATGTTGGGTCATTTTATAAGTAATGTTGTTTTTTTAAACTAATTTGTAATGTAGAAAATTAATACTTGCGTTTTTTTATTGTTGACGTATTGAACATCGTCGTGTGTTTCCTTATTCCATTTCCTTATTCCAAAAATACATGAAGTACGATATTATTTATGGGATGACCGAACATCCTCTTAATTTGTGTTTTTTTCGTGTTTATTTATGTTTATATCATCAGCGTACTTTTGTGCACTATTAAAATGTTATGTTAACTCTTTGGGGACGAGGATTTTGAAAATACTAGATTTATAGACATTTATTGTACACTTTATTCTATTGTTCTCAGAGTAATAGATGTTTGTCCATAGAGATCTTAAAAGGGAAATAGATATAAACATTTAACAAATAATGTTATAAACTTCCAGTATCCGTCAAATTGAGGAGTTCCATAAATTTTCTGTTAAATAATAAAATTATTTGCTTGTGGGAAATTTTAACATAACGACGTTCGTCCTGCGATGGTTAATAGTTATATACTGGATATATATTAATTATAATTATTGTATACCAAATTTGATTAATAAAGCCACTTTTACTAATTAATTAAACTTCTCTCTAGATATATATCTGTGCCTCACGTTCATTGCAATTTACGTCTTTTTCGCCAAACGTCGGCTGCTCTGGAAGCAATTAGTACGTGAGTGTGGGATTTGTCGGTTATCAATGTGTGTATAAATGCGGTGTGTGCACTGGTAATTAATTATTTAGGGTCGTTTATTTGATGAAAAGGGAACGAGGGTCTTTTAGTGGGAAAAATGTAAATGATGAATAATAAAATAGCAATTCTTAGTTTATGTTTGTTGGAAGTTATTGTTTTAGATGACTTTATGTATGGGAATGGTTTGTATTTAATTCAGAATTTTATTGTGGAAAAGCAATTATTTGAAGAGAAGACCAAGCATTCAAGTATTTAAAGCTGATTAAAATTATTTCACATGTGATCTGTAATATAAGCAGCTGACAAAACAATACAATAATGAAATCTCAATTAAACTTACTAAAGATAAGAAACAAGGGATTATATTATTTTGTATTTTATCATTATTGATAAATTGTAAATGTTAGTAGTGATCATAGACTTTCAAGTTCACTTATTTTGTTTGTTAATTAAATAATTTTTTACCGATCAAAATGAAGCACTGATTAATTTAATTGTGCAATTAGATTTACTTATATTGTGTAAATATTTTGTGAATAAATAAGAAATCATTTTTCTGGATTCTGGAATTTTGAAACTTTTTAGTTTATCATGTTGTTTATTTATTTGATAATTAGTGGAAGTTACAATTCATTGAATAGTTTTATGATTATTATACCATAACATGATCATTCTGTGATTTTTATGCATTTATGTCACAGTGAATGCTAACTTATGCAATATTTCTTTTTTTATTGCTGTGATAATAGGATACTTTATGTACTATTTTATTTATAACTTATCAAAGGTTTTACTAGGAGAAACATATATTTCTTTTTAATTTTCGCCGTTATTAAGTAATGTGGAAAACAGTGTATTATAGCTTTATTCAACTATATCCATTTTATTACAAGATGCATGGTTTAATTAAATATAATTTGCGATGTGCCTAATCTACACAGATTTAACAAGTTACAATTTGATGCATAACGTGAAACGAAACAGTGATTAATACTTTACAGAATATTACGATTATTTGTACAGTATAAATTTAATAATAACAAATTTCCATTTATTACCATTACAAAGAACATTAATAAATCAGGTATAATACGTATAAACATTACATAAAATTTTATTATAACGCTGTTTTACTTTTCACAATAAAACACACCATAAACGTATAAATATCCATCGCCCATTTATTACGAATAAAATTTTAATTACATTACTTTTTATAGCATCTTTATTATACTTAACAATTACGAAAATTAGATTCTAAGATTCGCACAGTACTTGTATTAAGATTTGCCAGTTATGCAAAAACAGAAGGAAAGACAAACAATAAAAAATCGATTAATCGGATAATATACGAATTGGTGTAAAGTTAAATGAACGAGGAAAAACGCAAAGTTTTTAATGAAATTTTAAAATTGGTCATTTGACCGATCGCGGTACGTTTAGTGGTAACGAGGAAATAGAGGTGCAGGTATTTCGTAGCAGGCAATAACGCCGCTCCCACCGGAGACTCCGACGCGTGAGTAAGACGCGAGCTCGGTGATTTCAAGGCGCGCGACCTGCACGAGCGCGATCCTGAGAGAGTTCGATCCGTTACGCCTCTGCATTAGAAATTCCAGTGGAATGGAGCAAAACAGACTTCAACACTTACGCAATTAACGTTTACTCGCTCGTATAATTACAATTATTAATAGATATTATATTAACGTGTCGTGAGTGTTTATTTACCTATAGTATTGAATAGGAATGACTAATTTTTAATGATAAACAAGGATTTAATAAGGTTAAATAGAAATAAAGGAAAATATATATTTTTGTAAAGGTATTAAGATTAGGTTGCATTTCTCTTGATGCCAATAATGAAGATGATAATGAATGGAATAATATTCAAAGTATTTTGAGTATTTTTCTGTTGATTGCTTTATTTATTAAAGTTTTGGACAGAAGTCAAATATATAATTAATTTTTTGCTTAAATTTCTTTTTTGTTCATCTTTTATGTTGCTTTGAATCTTTTTATTTTACGGTGATGGTAATTAGAAATATACTTGTATTATGAATATCTGTACAAGCACGAATTTTTTAAAAATTAAATATAACAATAGGTTTATTTGGAATTTTAAGATTTTTCCCAAGATATTATTACATTCTCTTCTATGAAACGTTACTCATTACTTGTTAATTACTTATTAAGCAACATTAATGAATAGTTAATAAATAGCAATATGTATAGTAATGATTTAATTAGAAAAAATAATTTTAACAAACAATAGTATTTATTAGTAAAATTATTCTGCATTAGCAATAAATATTATATGATATTATATTACTTTG